CTTGTACAGGGACCATTCCCTGGTGCCTTCTACCCTCACCCTGCCATTGAACGTTTGCCCAACATCATTGGAAGAAAGGAGTATGCTGTTGAAAGCAATTTTATTATTATTATTAATATACCATTATTTTAGAGAACTGCTGTTGGAAACAGCAGTATGAAGCAATGGAATTAGCCCTCCAGTAGCACGCTTCTGGATGGTTTCAGACCACTTATATGATCAGGTTTTGATGCCTGTGGACAAACCACAGGGTGATTTTGATGATGGCAGTCTGAGGGAAGTGAGTGTGAAAGGTGACCCACCAGGTCACCTGAGGAAGTCACTGACTTCCTTAATAGAGGAAAGTCACTGACTTTAGTGGAGTTGTGCTGATTCACTTGGGGATCTAGCCTGTGTTTTCTCGTGCTCGCAGTACCATCCATATATGTACTATTTTGTTTCTGTGCCTTTGATTCTTATTCTGTTCTCCATTAAGATTTGTCTTTAAGATTGCTGTTTAAATATATGGTTGAATACTAGCAAGAATTGAGCTCTGTTCTCATCTGGCTTCTTTTCTGTGACCTTACAAACACCTGTAGTTATGCTGTTTATTTCACCATGTTTTACTGTTTCATGCAGGCCAGTGTCACCCAGGAGCTAGACCTGGCAGCCAGCACCTGTCCCACTGGCCCACAGAAGCAGGCAGCTGGGGACACGAGGGCAGCCCCAGACACAGGTGTTGGGAATGTCCCTGGGGATAGGCTGAGTCTGGACCAAGATGTAGTCCTGAACGTAGACCCAGCTCAGCAGGGCCTGTGGCTGGGCAGGGCAGGATTGCAGGTACCTCTATCAAAACTAGACTGATTGTGGTGTCAGATATGCACCAGGGATTATCTGGTGCATTTTTGTTTGGAAGAGAAGTACATTTTTGTTGGACATTGCCAGGACACTGCCACCAAGGCAGAGCAGAGCACTGACTCCAGCCCCATGCACATTCCACATGCAGAACCTGGATGTGTTTTTGGGGTCTTCTGTGGGCTATCCTGGCATGAGATCTGCTCTTTGCTCCCAGATTCCCAGTATGCCTGATGCAGCATTGTTTCCCCAGCAAGAACCAATATTTGTCCAGTCAACCATGAAGTTTCTACTCCTATGTTTACAGATTCTTTTTGCAGAAGCGCTGAAGTCACAGGAATGCTTGCTGTGAACAGTCTGTGTGGATTGATGTGACTAATGCCATGAGCTGTACTTACGGTTAAGTTAGAAAACATTCATTTTATTATTAACACAAAATAGTTGCTGCACTGTTAAGAACGCTTATGTAGAAATTATTTGGACCCAAACAAAGGATTTACCTCCAGCTATTATGAATCAGTCCTCAGAGCTGTAAGCAAAAATAATGCCATGCCATTTAGGTAATTAATTATCAGTCTTTAATTATGAATAACAAATAGCCACTGTGACTGCTTTAAGAACAAATCCCAGCATAAAATTTGTCTTCACAATATATTTGTCAAAAAATAAGAAATAATGAGTATGAAGCAAACTGATTATGCAAGATTGGTAAGTAAAAAGGATGCTTAATGAATGCCATTTGTTTTTATATGATGAAATATGTGAACTGTAATTCACCCTGCTGTGTGTTAGAATTTCCATGGGCCCATGCCACTGAAAAACTGATTCTTCATTCACCATAAAGTTAAGCACAGATGAAAGCTTTGACAGGCTTGGAAAACAACTAAAACCAAGTCACCACATCAAAAAAACTAATAAGTAAACAAGACGCAAACTAGCAGTTATTACAATGATGAATTCTAGTGATGTAGTGGAAAAGAAGTAAAAAGGAAATAATTCAAAGAGGACTCATTTGTTAACAATTTCCCCTCTGCAGTTTGGCATCTTGTTTTGTTTCTCCTCCTTCTTTCTTTTCCTCTTTTTTAATTTTTTTTTTATTTTTTTTTCTTGTATGGATGTAAGGAAAAATGTATGTCCCAGCCTGAATTGATGATTGAGCACCAGGTGAAGAGGGTGGCTGGCCCAGGAAGCACAGCGCAAGCAATTCACCTGTGCCTCCCATGTGAACAGAAGCTTATTTAAGGGCTAGCTGAGGGAGAATGTCTTCTGGATGAAAGCTACTTCTTGGGAAGGTGTATTCTATAGCTGGAGACTCTACTGCTAGTTGGTGAGTTAATGTTTTCATATGTATGATTATTGATATTCCTATTGATGCTTTACTTAGTGTTGCAAAGGCTTTTTCAGAAGCAGTTTCATTGCTTCTAAGGGCCAACAGTGGATTATAAAGTTTTCCACATCATAGCAAATATACTGAGTAGCTGAATTATTGGTATGTGTATGATTGGCTTGGTGTGTGTTTGAAGATTCCCAGTGTACAATCCAGTCTGCACAAAGTAAATTTGGGGTTGTAGTGTCTGTTGGACTTCATTCCATCAGGAGGCCACGATAGGCACCAGAATGTAGGATTATGCCAGAGGGCTCAGGCTGCTCTGACTCATCACTGGCCATGACCAGATCAGAGATGCCCTAGTCTAGCTTAATATGATCTCTGTGAGGAAGGTACAGCCTACCCATGGAAGAACTAACTTAGAAGACATATTAATTGCTAATGTGAGTTTGGCAGTTTAAATTGTCACGTTTAACTTAAATTTTTGAAGTACTGATTTTCTTCTATCTTAGAATCCGCATCTGTTTTGTAAAGGTCTAAGAGTCAAGGCATAGGAAGTCCGAACTGTGCTTCAAATTCCTGCTTTTGCAAGTTATCAGATGTTCTTTTGTTCTTATATAATGATTAAGTTTTGCTTCTATTTTTTCACTAATGTTTTGTATCCTGAGTCTGTTCTTTGTTTGAATTATTTGAATTACTTTTACACTCTTCATTGCTTTTATTATGTCCACAGATGATGCAAAAAGCTACACCACTGCAGAAGAGAAAAAAAACATAACTATTCAGCAATAATCATATGAATAATTTTTTCTAATCCTAATTATCTTAACCTGGCAGACAATGGATACTACAGATCCAACACAACTTTGCTATTAAGTGACTGAACTACTTGGAAGATTCTTATGTGGATATATGTGAAAAATTATGAGTTTATTGGCTCTCATGATCAGGAAAATAATGGGAAGGAAATAGACATTTTCTCTTGTTGAAGACTGCAGACATTTTTCTATACACAGGGACATAGGTAATAGTTTTACAGTTAAGCAGAGCAAGTGTACAATATTAATATTCTATTTGTCCAACCAAAAATAATTATTAGGAAACTATGGTTGCTTTATAATTAGAGAGGTATAGGATAGTTTAGGTTCGAAGGAACCTTAAAGATCACCTACTTCCAACACCTTCCACTAGGTAAATTTACACCATGGCCCAACCAACCTATCCTTGAACACTTCTAGGGGTGAGATATCCACAACTTCTTTGGGCATCCTATGCCAGTTCTTCATGCCCACTGAAAAAAAAATTTCTTTACAGTACAACTCCACCTAGGGCTCACACAGAAAGGAGCTACAACTAAAAGATTTTGGCAGCTCTAACATTATTTTGGAAGCACCTTTCCAGCCCCACTTGCAAAGCCTCTGCATTTTCTCTTTTTAAATACTAACCCTAGGCAGTGCCCAGGTCCTACAGCCACCCCACTTAGGGCTCCTTGGAAAATGGTGAGGACTGAAAGGTTTTGTCAGCTCTTTTGCAGCCCTACTCACCCTGGAACTCTGCACTTTCATAATTGATATGGGCTGTACAGTGCAATTTGAAGTTCCCCAGTTTTTTTGTGTCGTGTGGATCTTGAATTTTGGTCTGAAGTACCCAGAACATGAAAACCCCTGAGTAGGATTCATTGTGGTTACAGTTTGTGTTGAAATTTGTGATGCTGAAAAACAGGAGAGAAAAGTAGTATCATGGAAACCGCTATTTCTGTGAGATATGTGCATGTTCGCACAGTCCTACAATCACTGAAACAAGCCATTCCAGCACCTCCATGAAAGTTTTTATTTCAAGCCCACATTAGTCTTGGATGTAGTTCTCCATGTTGCTCTGCCAGGAGATCATATTGCTATAAGTTTTGTTTTGTTTTTGAATATATGTTTCTCAAATGAAAACTGAATCTTTTAGAAGGAAACTATAATTATTTGAAGGTGAAGGTAAAGGCCTATATGCAAGGCCTTTATTTAAAAAAACAAACAAACAAACAAAAAAACCAACCAAACAAAAAAAACCCAAATGTTAGGAACACGAACTTTGGTGCTTTAAATGACATTGTCTTACACTATCCTTTTTCTATAATGCTATTAATGTTAAAACAATCCTTATTCAGTAAAGAAACAGAAAAGTAGCTATTACCATGTACCACAGCTGTTGACCACCTGGCATCCTGGCCTCTGTATGATGAACAAGATAGCTTAACCAAGCACAGTATACTGTCAGCCAAAGTCACAACATTAACTGGTAAAATAATTGATTTCGCCACATAAGGTAAAATTGTATAGTCCTAATTTTTGATCTGGCTCTGCCGGTCAAGATTTTTTTCCCACTCATTTCAATCAGTTTAAATTGTGGGTTATTTGTATATCCCATAAAAAACTTAATTGCATGTTGTTTTGACTAGGTAAGCCTAGGTGAAAACGTCATGAAACTATTCTTAAGGTACTGCTAATTTAAAGGGATGAAGTCATCTGTGTTTCTCAAAATGACACCACAAAGCATATAAACCTACAATAAATGTAACTGTCTTTGGTGTGCTTCCTTATTTCTTTTAGTCTGATTCTGCTTGAAAATTTCTTGTTACTTCATGTTTTTGTGGACTTTAGGCCAGATGTAGATTTATAAAAGCAGATTTTTAAATATAAAAAAAAATTGATTATTTTCACTGAACCTTAGCTGGACATGCTCAGGATTTCTTTTTATTTTCTCTCAATTATTTATCATTGGTCCTTACTGAATTCTCAGGAGATTCAACAGGAAGGTACTTCAGAGAGAGGATACCATCATACAAAGGCACATTTGCTTCATGCTGGCATCTTTGTTTTTCCTTGCAGAAAAACTTCCTCTGTGCTCTAGAGAGACTGAGGAAATGGATCACTGAGGATCAAGCTACTCTACAACGTAAGTCAGTATCCACTTTTTATCCATATAAGGTGGTAGAAAATGACCTTTTCCAATTAGTTTCCATGAGAACTTGCTTGTTTTACAACTCTTTTGAAGAACTATTACAGCTGTTAGTCATGTTAAGAGGAAACTGCCTTTTGGTGTCTTTGCTGAGTCAACAAATGCTATCTGTGGTGCTGTATACTCTTTAATGATTTGTACATTCATGACTCTGTTTGTGATGTTGCTCCTTGTTGTGGCTGTTATTTCTTGAAAAAAATTACTGTCAATTCTGTTGTAAAAGCTTAGGCTGCAAGATATTAAACACATACATATGAAATAACTTTGCTACTCCTGCAACACAGGAGTTTCCAAACAAAACAGCAAAAATACAGATTTGTTGGAATACGTACTGTGGTTAAACTTGTGAAGGTGATGTGTTGTCACTGACTGACAGGGTTGGCAGGGTGCACATAAAGTCCTGAGGCAACAGTTGTGCTGTAGTTGCTGTGAGAGATCAGGGAAAACTGGCTTGTTTAATGCCCTTGTTTGCCATCTTTTAAGTAGAGCTGACTAGGTTAAGCGAAAATGAGTGAAATGTGATATTTGAAAGTTCTTTGACATATAACAGCAGGAAGTTTATTGGAAGCATTTCCCTTTTTTTGTCATTACCTTACTTAAGATGTTATGTTTTTAGCAGTAATTTACATGAAATACGGTTCTTTCTTGAGACCCCTTTTATTTCAATAGGAATTCAAATTTATAGCACTTTTAGCAGAGGCTTTGGGGCAAAATTAGATGTGATTACTGCTTTGACAGTATATAGTGTGTATATATATCAGCATCATAGAATGGCTTGGTTGGAAGGAACCTTGAAGTCCACCTAATTCTATTTCCTCTTGTCATATCGTTATCTGTCCACATACGAAGTTGGTCTCCCTCCTGTTCATAAGTTCCGTTTAACTACATTAAGGCTGCAGTGAGGTTTCTCCTTCTTCCCAATTGCACAAGCTCAGCTCCCTCTGCACTTCTTCATGGGAGGGGTACTCCAGGCCTCTGATAATCTTTGTGGCCCCTCCTCGGGACCCACTCCAACATCTCCACATCTTTCTTGTGTTGGGGGCCATACTCCAGATGGGGCATCACAAGAGGGGATAATTGCCTCCCACGCACTCCTGGCCACCCCTCTTTTGAGGCAGCCCAGGATACTACTGGCTTTCTGAACTGCAAGCATGCAACATTAGCTTCCATCAAGCTATCCATCCACTAGAATCGCTGTAAGTGTAAGCCTGTTTGATAGAGGAAATTCTCAGCTACAGAACACTTTTTTTTTTTTTTTTTTTTTTTTACATAATCAACACCATTAACCATGCATCTCACTAGCAATGAACAAGAGTCAGTATGCAAAAAAAAAAAAAAAAAAAAAAAAAAAAATCTGCTCCAGTGGAGGTAACTCATTGTTGCTGTCACCACTGCTGAATTGCACCACCCACCATCTCACTGTGCTCGCCTCCACCATTTGGCCTCCATAAAATGTTCAACAAGCATCGGTGAATGTCACTGGTGCCATTTTTTCCTGCATGGAGGAGTTCAGAAACACTCTGCTTTATCTGCATTTCCATGTCAAATGTAGTTATATCAGATGCCATTTTGTCAAACTGCCTTTCTGCTGGCGTCTGTTACGTGGCAACAAAATGTCATGGAATATTGCTGGGAAGGTTTGGCCTCTGCTGCCACACTGCCAACATCCGACTTCATGGTCCAATATAATAAAATAGTAAGCATTACTTTCAAACCAGCCTTTGTATGTATAATATATACATGCACACAGGTTATCTATAGAGAGACAAAAAAATACAGTATGTTTTCAAATTTTTCATGTTCTGAGTCTTTCTATAGTTCTTGCCTGATGAGATATTTAGAATATCTTGGAGACTTCTGATTTGCTTGTCAACCCTATAGTTTTCATCCTGCATCGCTTCTGGTTCATAGGATAAGATGGTTTGTGTACATGTGGGACTGTTTTCATATATAATCTTTTATTGGCTTATTTTCTTCTTTACTTACTATTTCCTTATATTCTACTAAGCAACTTTTACCTGATCTTTTTCTTTTCATAATGGGATTGTTATTTATATACCCTGCAGCATAAAATTTGAAATGATGCATGAAGTCAATTGGATTTTGAATACTGCACTGTTCATTATCTATTTCCAACATACAAAAATACTTTGCAATATAATGACTTTTCTATGAAGCTGTGTAGGATCTCTGGGCATTTGTATAGAACAAAAGCAGAGTCATGGCACTTCATCTAAGTGTTGAATCTTGAAAGACACTTTTCTACATTTTTGAATTCATACATTTGAATTTGTAATTCAAATGTTTACAAAAAAGGGGGAATAAAAGCACACGAGACTGAATCATTTAATCCCTGCAAAACATCATGTAGAATCTCAATGGGGACTGCCTGACAGAGAATCAGGAAAGTATTAAAATCTTCCTTTCAAAACTGGTTAAATTTGAGACCATGGTAGAGTCACTCAGCTCCATCCTAATGCATAGATAAACTCAGAAACTTAGAGAACTCTGATCAACTTTAAAAGGTAGTTCAATCTGAACATGATTCTTAAAACTAGGAAGATTTGGTCTCAATAAGCTTCTTCGTGTAGATCTAGCTATAGCTAGCAGTACTATGTATTCAAAGACTGCTGAGAGAACAAGACCTCTTATACCATTTGAAGGTCAGGCTTTGTGTTTCTATAAGCATGTCATCCACATATTAATACATATAGAGATAATATTTTGTCCTATGTAAAATAAGTTAGCTCAGATTAAAAATATGGAAGAACTCAGTTTGGCAGACAAGAATTGCATGGCTACTTCAGAATACATATTTGCGCTAACTTTAAGAATACAGTATGCCCTGTCCTGAAAAAAGGCATCATGGTTTTATGATTTTTGGTTATTGGTATTCCACATCATAACATCATGTAATACATTAGGAGTTAAAGAGTTACTGCTCCAATTCTGGGTACTTGTCCCAGAAGAGAAGAATAACTACAGTTATCCCAGAGGACTTCGTGTTCATAGAGGAGATAAAGCCCCTGGCAAGGTCTCCTCCCTGTTGCTCCACCTGACCACACATTTTACCTCAGCATTAGTGTAAGGCCTTCACTTTTTTGGACACTCTCGCATTATATTTGATTTATTAGCTCCAACTCTAATTATATTGTACTATATTGTATTATAGCGTGTTATCTTGCATTCTGATATCTTATTTAGTATATTAGTTTGTTTCTTCTCAGATCACTGCTACTGTTCTGTTTGGGGCCCATCTCTCTACCCTTTTTCCTTATCCCTTTCCAGGGCGCGGATCTTCAGGTCCCTCCGCCCCACTAGTCACAGAACCAGGCCAAATCAGCCCATAAACTGTTGACAAAAGGCGAGGTTGTTAAATATCCAAATGCGTTCTTAAGAAGTTAAATAATGTGTGAATGAAATCATTCTCTACATTTAGAGTGTTTCACTAAGAAAGATGACTCTCATGTAGACATCTGGGTCCACAAAGGTTTCTACTGATTGCTACAGGCTATTCTAAGCAGAAGAAAACAAGGAAAGTGCTTATAGGCAATGAATCTGGAAATGGATGATTGTCATTTATATGGAGGTAATTTTTCTTCCCATACAGAATACAGGGAAACTGTAGTGTTCTCTTGCACTAGTGATATGAGGAAGCACTATGTGACCACAATAGAGAGGTACTGCTAAGTGTTTGTTCTGCTCTCATACTCTTCCCCAGGGAGTCACTGCTCCTCTCTGCTGAAGATGAGCTGTTTGGCTGAGAGGACCTTTGATCTAACCAAGCTCAACTTACCTTCTCATTTCTTGTGTTTTTCAAGTCCATAATCCAGGCAAGAGAACTTACATGCACAAACTATTATTGCTATAGAACTCTTATGCAAACAGAATCTCAGTTATATACACTGCACTGAAGCATAAGCCAGAAACATCAAACTATCATTAGACCATATCTGAGGGGCCACTGGGACTGCAGGCTTGACAACGCTGCCTGATTGGCCTTGTTTGTTATGTTCATTGTCATTCAGAGCTATTGTCAGTGCAAGATAAATTCTTGCAACAGCGTCTATCATGACAAATTTTATGGCAGACTCCAGCGCTTTCTTTCCCAGAGTCTTAACACTCTCAGAGGGAATCTTCATTCATCTTTATGGTAAATGATTAATTTAGTAATCTTATGTTGAAACTTTTCTCCTTTTCTTTTTAAACTTTCAGGAATTTTGCATGACTATTTGAAATGTGTCAAAGCAAGGCGAACATAGACTGTTACCCAGTCACATCCATGCAATTCTGAAGAAAATGCTCTGGCAGCTGGATCTGGTGAATCTTGGGCTGTGCTGTTAATTCAGTCCAGAGGGACAATGTTCTCTAAAGATTTTGCAGGCATTCTCTAGCTGGCATTTTTACCACTTACTAGTGACTGTGAATTACAGTATTAGTAGGCTTTAGAAAAATTTCGATTGAAATTCCTGTTTTTTAGCTGTAGTTCTGATCTTCTTTATATAACTAGAGAAAGAATAGTTGAATAGCTGTGGAAAGTGAGAAAGCTTCTCTTTAACAGTCCTAGAGAACAAACAACATTATTTGTTTTTTTTTCTTGCCCAGTTGTTACAGCCTGATCAATACAATTTAATATTTTGCTGAATATGTCTAGTTAAAAAAAAAAAGTAAATAGGTTTTCTTGGGTGAGGATTAGCTGTGTTCCCTTGCTGCATGCATGTTTGCTTCTAGCAGTACACATCTGAACTTGTGGTTAACAAACATGTAGTGCCTGTGCTAGTTCCATTCTGCACTATGTTAAGTGAAAAGTAAATTTTATAGCCGAGAACTACCAAATACTGCAGTACTAATCCCTAAGACTGTGTGGCTCAATAAAGAAGAGTTTAATGAAAAAGATGCTGCAAGGGACTTATTTTTTGTTCCACATTTGTTATGAGCTGTAAAAATCCAGCAAAACAAAAACCAAGACAGAATAATAAATGTTATAACAACTTTTGCTTTTTATTCTTAAGTGTTCAGTATTTATGACATTGATTTTTCTATCACCATGGCAATCACTGGACAATATGACAGCATCTGAAAACAATATAAATATTTATTTGCATGTAATGTTTTATCTGGAAGCCACTGCTATCCAGAGGAAAAGATTAAGTACCTATTTATTCCAACTTCTGCAGATGTTCAATTTGTTTGCTTTTATTTATGTATGTATTCTTCTTTTTTTGTACTGCTAGGTGTATTGATATACTACAGGTTCAGATAATTCTTCACTTTTGCCCAGGTAATTGTGCATTATATGATTTATTGTATTGTTAACACCATTTTCCTCTGTCCTAGTTTATTAGGCCATATTTAAGTAATATATGTGCACATCTGATATCAATCCAAGTGAAGTCTGAATCCAGATTTAGATGTGACCTTCTCCCTAGGATATAACTTTTTCTAATAAAAACTGACTGAATTAGAAGCATGAAGAAATGGCTCTCTTGTTTTTTCCTTAACGATTTTTGCCCAGGGGTTTTGGAAAATACTTCAGAAATCAGAACAGTTTTCTAGCTTTCTCATTTTATATCTTGCTGACAAATTCTGTCTTAGAGTTTCTGTATCTCAATGTCCATTCTTCTTCGCTTCAGGGCATCTCATGTGCCGTATCTGTTGAATGATTCCATGAATGAACTGGAAGATGAAATATTGTGCCTGTCAATCATATTTTTAGATGACACAATTCAGGGAGGCATTGTAAATTCATGGGAGAATGAGAATAAAATACAGTGTAATCATCATGCACTGGAAAAGTGGTCTGAAATCAATCAAATGGATTCACTAAGGATACTGGCAAAGTGGCTAACATAGGAAATAACAAAAAGAACAAAATTGATGAGATTAAGTGCAACATGGAAAACTTAAAGTTTAAAAATGAGGAGAAAATAATTCTGAATAATATGTGATGGTTACTTTGGATTTCATTCAGTTGCTGCAAGAGAAGTCTCCCCAACATTCTTAGTAGTATTTAAAGTATGAGAGGACTTGCAGTTTTCACGTGGACTTTAGTAAGATTCCAAAACACTTTATATTGGAAAAACTCTAGAAAAAAAATTGAAAATACGTGAGACTCCATTCCATTCCTTCTCATTTTGAATCTTTTTGATATAGACTTTTACACTGGAAGCCATGTAATTAATAGGAGTTAACAAACCTAAAATGTCTGTCTTGAATCCCGTATGACATATTATGGATGGGTAGCACAAAGCATAATTCTGTGCATATTATGAATAACATTTTTCTTTCATTGTTTACGGCTGCACAGGATTCCTTGTCAGTTCTGTAGTATAGCTGTTCTCTCTATACTTGTATCTGTGAATTAATTACAACAGAGGTCCCAATTAAGGTTTCTTGTACAACAAGTACTAACTAAAGTGGTGTAAACAGAGAATGCTTTAATATGCATTAAGAAAAAAATGGCAATTCAAACAGTGAAGTGTCTTCATTTCAAGCTATGGTTGATTCCATTGTTCCAGCTCTTCCAAGGTTTTGATCACTATACAGTATAAAAGACAGGAAATTGGAAAAAGACAACCATCTATAACCTGAAAACATGCCTTTCTCTCAAAGCTTGCCTGGAAAACTAAGCAAGAAATTCTCAATGATAAAATACTAAATTTAAAGTTATAAAAAATTCATTGAGATAGGTAATTTCTTTAATTATTTATTAGGTTGCTTCAATTATACAGCCAGTTTTTTTCCTATGGCAGAAGACCTCTTGCCAAATCTAGCTGGCAATGTTTGAAAAGTGTGATATAGTGCTATTGAACAGCACCCATTCATTTTTTGAAAGTTTCTGTGTAGCATGTTTATATTTACTTCTTATGTGGAAGTATAACATTCTGCTACTGTAAGGCCTTTGCCACTAACTGTATCATTTGGGTATACAGAAGCCAAAGCATCCTTAGATGGTCTGCTGTAAATTTTTTTAAGGGACCCCAAAAGCATGTTGTATAACATGCATAGGAATTAAATATGATTTCTCAACAGCAGTGATTCCAAACTGAACTTTCTACAGTTTCTGCATGAAGATTCCTCAGGGGAGACCTGTAGGGAAGTGGTGATGGTGTTTGAAATTAAAGAGAGCTTAGCATTTAGGGGGTATTGCTGCAAATGTACCAAAACACGTGGTTAACTAAAGGCATTATGCCACTGAGATTAGAACTACACCCAGTTATCTTGACAAGGAAACAAGAGACGGAGGAAAAGCATTATTTCTGTAGGAAATGTCTGCAGGTGAATGTCCTGTATAATGAAGCATTTGGCTCATAGCTGGAATTGGTTGCAATCAGGTCTCATTGGTGAAAAATACGGTACTTGCTATGTTTGGTAGGATTCCTCTGTAAGCTTCTCTTCAGTTGGCTTTTATACCCTGTTGAAACCGGTCTATCACCTTGTTAGCGGGCATTACTGCTCCCTTAACAGCTGCCAGTGTGCATAGGCATGCTGCAGAACCAGACTATGGATCTATTTTAATTATAATCACAGGACCCCTTCTGTGCAGGGCAGCCATGCATAAGGTTATGAGGATAATATCTCATTATCATTCTATCAAGCTAGGTTAATTTGGAAAAAAATCAAAACATTTCTAGAGGTAGGAAAGAAATGGATCAGGTTTCTTCAAAGTAAAATACAATCAACGGCAAAAAGAACAAATTATTTCTTTCAGTATGTCACAGTCCAGATAAATGGCTTAGATGGGTGCAGAGAGAAGCTGTGTTGACTAATGTAATTGGCCATGCAATATCAACAAACAGATTTCCCTTGAGGAGAAACTGAGTTTCACGGAGCTGTTTCTGCAGTAAGGTGCTTCTCAGGGTGGCTGATGCTGGTCCTTCATTGTGTTCTCAAGCAGAAGAGGGGAAAAAAGAGAGAAGAGAAAATATTTTAGAAGTGAAGGTATTTAGGGTACTGCGTGTAGTGGATTTACTTTATTTCCTTTGATTTTGTTTAGGAATGAATTTGCTTTGCATGTCCTATTTCCTGGGGTTTTGTTTGCTTTTGTTTGTTTGAAGTATCCCTTAATACGATTTTCTTTTTTGTCTTCTCATTCAGTTTTCAGGTTGTCTTGGTGACACCTTTCTACATGGTGTTTCCTTGGAAGTGCATGTTTCTTTCATTTTTTAGAACATGTGTTACTAAAGTGAAAAAACAGCCTGAAGGCTGAGAGGGTAGATGGGAGGAAGGTTAGTCATTCCTTTAGAAATTTTGTTGAAGATGAAGTCAGGAAAAAAAAAAAAAGACAACAATTGGCTTGTGAGAGGATTTATGAATGGACCAATCAGAAGTTGAAAATTAAACTTTAAAGCCAGCTTCAAAAGTTACTACCTTTTTTCCTCCTTTGGAATTTTGTATTAGAAAAGAAAATATCTTTCATCTTTACATTTCCTTAAGGGAAGTTTAATTTGTTTAGGGAAAAACCTACAATTTGCAATTCTCAGCAGAATACTTAGCCAACCTCTGTATGAAATCTACCCTGAGAAGGACAAACGTGATTCAGAATCCTTCTGTGCATAATTCCTTTCTCAAATGCAAGAGGTAATCCAGCTCGAACTGGTGCACAGTACCAGATCAGATCTCTCCATTGCCATCTGCTACCTCTGGAGACACCAAAAAGTATGTGGAAGAGGTGAAGGTCTTTGGGTATGAGAGGCCAGCTAATCAGGTGGAGGGTTTGGGCCCCAGGGTATGTGTAAGCATGCAGTTCTGCCAACTTCTGTCCACCACAATGGCAGCACAGGGCTATGCTCAGTGCTTGGCAGTGACAGAGGTCCTTCTCCAGCCATATCTTTGGTTTCAGACCTTCTTTCCTAAGAGGGAGGGGGAAGACAAGTTCTAAAAGGAAAGCAAAAAGGAGGATGCTCAGGGGAGACCTCATTGCTCTCTATAACTTCCTGAAGGGAGGTTGTAGTGAGCTGGGGGTCAGCCTCTTCTCTCGTGTCATTATTGATAGGACCGGAGGGAATGGTTTGAAGCTACGGCAGGGGAGATTCAGGCTGGACATTAGGAAGTATTACTTTTCAGAAAGGGTGGTCAGGCACTGGAATGGACTGCCCAGGGAGGTGGTGGAGTCACCAAGCCTGGGGGTGTTCAAGGAAAGGCTGGATGTTGTGTTGAGGGACATGGTTTAGTAGGAGCTATTGGGAATAGGTGAATGGTTGGACTGGATGATCTTTTAGGTCTTTTCCAACCTTGGTGATTCTATGATTCAAAGATGAACAAACTGGTGTAAACACAGCTTTAGCAACTAAGTCTAATAAAAAGTACAGCTAAACACCAGAAGGAAAGCAAAAGCATCTTTAAGTGTGCTGCAGTTACAAGACATAAAGGCAATTTAGTGGAACAAATCAAACCCTGGCAACTACTTACCCAACTGTAAAGGCAGTAACAGAATCAGCAACACCTGAAGGATTGCCTTTATTGTTTGAAGAACAGAACATTTCTTGTTAAGAAACATACAGAGCAAGAATACATTAGAGGGAAATGAGTTAGGACAGCTACTGGAGAAAAAGAAATATCCAGTTACTTACAAAAATATTTCACAGTCATTTCCAGACAGGTTACTATTAAAAATTTCTCAATGGAAGTGAATTTTATGACAGTTATACACAAAATAACTGAATTCTTCAG